GAGACTCTGTCTCAAAAAAAAAAAAAAAAAAAAAAAGTCTATTTCCAGCTGCAGAAGGAGAACCACATGATTTAAGGTACTTACTCAAAGTTATATGACTAGTTAGTACTTTTGAAATTATACTACAGTGTCGCTATTTATAGATTTGAAAGTATTTCATTAACATTTCTGAGTTACCGATTTTCACAAAGTAGCAAACTTAGTGGGCTTGGTACAATGGTGGTGGTAAGAACAAGTCAAATCCAGTAAAATTTCTGTTATCAGCAGTGAGTGCAATGCATATGATTGCCTTTGAATTTTGTAAAACTTTAAACGAGTGCTTCCTAAATTTCAATGTGAGTATGAATAACCTGGTGATATTGTTAAAATGTAGAATCAGGGGTGGAGTCCAAGGTTTTGCATTGTTTATAAGCTGTTGTTCCAGGGACCATACTTTGAGTAGAAAGGCCCCTAACTTGTCTTCCCAATAAAAAAAAATTAAATTGTGATTAGGATAATTTTATTGTTAAAAGCATTTTACTGCATAATTCTTCGGCAAATGGTAATCCGCATATGATTCAGTCTCTTATTACCTTAGATCAAACAGGAGCTTAAAGAAATGAAGGCTCAGAAGGTTAAGAAACTTGCTCAAGGGCACACAGCTGGTTTGTGGTGGTGGGGGGATTGTCATAAAATATGAAAACAAATATTGATTAATCAAAATAGGAAAAAAATGTTAAGTGAATAACTTTTTGATTAAGCAAGAAAAACAGACTCACAGCATTTATTACATACAAGAAATTATGAAAAAAAAAAAGAAATTACGCTAAGCACTACGTGAATACAAAGTTTTATCAGACTCTAACCTTAAGCTATTTATTGTTAAACAGGAAGAAGGGATAGGTGTATGAAAGAATAATAAAGTAGAAAGTAACAAGTCATAAGAGAAGTAAAAGACAATGCACTGAGAGATCACGAGAAGGAAATGACTGCATGAAGGGGCAGTTTGAGATAGTTAAGCGAGATTGAAAGCTATAAGATGAACCGAGATGTTTGAGATTAAGCATTCCAGTGGGAGGAAACAATACCAATAATGATTAGCAAGTAATCTATCATGTGAGATATGTTAATTGTACATGAACCCAGGCAATGCAAACTAAACCCCTTCTTAATTCCTGTCCCCCCAAAATAAAACAAAAAGTATAAAATCATTTCATCAAGATAGTATTTAAGATTTAAAAAACAATGTCATTATAATTTTAAGAAAATTTCAAAATATATGCATAAGTCAATTAAATAGTAAATCAATTAAACAGTACTTTTAAAAGAAGCTTGTCAGAAAACGTGAATGTATCTTTAGTTAGTTATACTGTTAAATAAGCATTTTAAAAATAAAATTAGTATGTTGACATCCTTGTACATCTAAACAGATTTGGAGTAAGAGGGAAGTCAAAACATTTGCTTTCACTAATTCCATCCCACCATTTAATTCTGGAGTAGGAATGGGGGGGTTAACAGAAAAGAATGTTAATATAATCAGAAAATTGAAAACAAAAAAGTACAGAATGGGAGTATTTACAATTGAACTTAAAAGTATGTATTTACAAGGAAATTAAAAAGAGAACAAAGCCTCTTGTATAACTTACCAACATAAAATGAACAGTTGGAATGCAATAAACTTTCAGTCCATAAGCGACAAAGTTCACTTTCAGTCAGAGCTTCAACTCCGTAACAAGCTTGATACTCTACTTTTGGTAGTACATAAACTGGAAATTGCTGCAATGCAAGATTATATTTTTTCAAAACTCCATTGATTTACTATTAATAGCAAATACATTTGCCTATATAGCTTTGCTACTTTCAAAACGCTTTCAGGTTATCTTATTTCTTCCTTTCAATTAGGATAGGACTCAGACAGAATGATGGATACATTTGAGCCTGATAGATAGAAGAACACTCCATGATGCAGGTGAGAGGTGGATGGATACAAGAAATCCCTCCTTGGCACTCCTGTCCCTAACTAGAATCAACATACCTCCTCACATATACAACATTTTATTTCTGTCAGGGAATGTGACTGACAGCAGAATCCTTAGAACAGAGCCTATTGTACATAATTGCTCAAAGGTTCAAAACTAGATGCTGGGAAGCAATGATTGTAATATATACTAAAAATTCTGAAGAGAATAAAAAAGGCAAGAATTTTTTGCTCCTTTATAGTATTAATCATACTGTCTCAGGCTCAAATACTCTGAGCAGTTTGTTTTCATTTTGTAAATGAATGAACATTAATTCCTATATTAATACCTATAGATGTCATTATCATTAATATAAAGGTTTTATTTGAGACACAAAGTGACGAATTACCTATTCAGAGTTCACTGCTCAGGATACTACATAAATTAAGTAAATTAATAAATTAAGACCCATTATTGATCTAAGAGGATATGAAAAGAAATACATGTTTGTGAAATAATACGTTAGTCATGCTCACTGTGCTCATGCTATCTCATCTGTCAAAGAAAATTCTGCTCTTAAAAAGTCTATTTCCA